GCACCGGGTGTGGGCCCGCGGCCGCGTCTCCGGGATCCAGCCCCGCCCCGCCCCGTCCCCGCCCCTCCCCCGGTCTCGGTGCTGCCTCAGCTCCCTGGTTGCGGGGCTTCTGTGCAGCCGGGTCTCAGGAGGCTCTGAGCGATGGCGGTTCCGTGTTTAGTTGTGATTTTGATGTGGCTGCGGGAGGCGGCGGGTGCAGTTGCTATTTGTGCTGCCGTCTTATTCCTCTATTTTTCTTTCTTAAATTCATAAATTCCAATCACTTTTTCTAATATTTTGTTCTATATCCTTTTCAATTTTGATAAGAGCAGGAAAACACACTTGATTAAATAGTAGTTATATGTGTTTGTTTATTAAACTGTAGAATTAGAAATGAAGGACTAGAAAATGAGAAGTGTGGCTGAGTTTTTTCCTGCAATTATCACAAGGAAAGTGACATCACACACACACACACACACACACACACACACAATGTCCTTGTGAGAAATAGATGGCCACACTTTTCAGATTATTTGTCACTGATATTGCACTACACCTATGATGATATCACCCCATTACAAAATCTCAGGAATGATCTTGTAATCCAGGAGTAGTCATCACGGCAAAACCATATATTAAAGTTCTCAGTATAAGCCTGCATTGACTGTTATAAAATTAGATAACCCACTTGTGGAGTCTAAATTACAAAATCAAAAATAGCATTATTGTAGAGATGTAATTTCAGGAATACTTATCTTTAATTGTAATTAAGGAAAATAGTACTTTTCAAGGTAGTTGTCACCTGCAGGGAACAATGGCTGCCCATCAGTAACAACATTTGAACTATGATGATCAGGAACAATATGCGTACAAAGGCAATTAGTTAAAGTGAGTTTCAAAGTCTGTGTATTCTGGCTTAATGTGTAAATACCATTATCCTTAAATTTGTCACAATGTCCATGAATTCTAAAGAAGAAAAAAGAAGAGAATTTTTATCCCCCAAAACTTTCCTGATAATTTTTTGCTGTAATGTATACATTTAATAGGAATAAGAACTTGTGTGCAGTGAATGGCAAGAAAAGGCTGTTTTTGGATAGAATGTAGTAACATGCCTAGTGAAATGGGAAACAAAGAGAAAGAGAAACATTTTAAGCAGCTTAGTGAAACGACAATACTCCCAGCATAGTCTGGTGTCACATCCACTAGCTGGACTACTTCTTAAACCCTAGTAAGCATTCAGCCTCCAAGACTACGGTAGGCCACATTGGCACCACTTTTTTCAGAAAGATATAGGACAGGAGTCATTGCTCCTGGCAGGGGCAAGCAGACAGTATTGATTAGGTGGCCTACCCAACACTCTCTGCAACAGTCCACACTACCTCTCAGAAACTGTGCTTTTTCACTCCTGAGCTCCCCTCAGCCCCAGCCCCCAGGTGACAGCCCAGGTGAGAAGCATAAAGATTCACACAGGGTGAGTCCAGAAGCCATCCTGCCTTAAAAGCTCCCTGTGGACACAAACCAACCCCATAAGCCTAACTTGCAAATTCTTATAAGGAATATGTTTGTATATAAGAATTACTGCACTCAGGCAAGCCTAAAATTATTTTTCCAATCAGGTATTCATAATTCTGTCAGTCTAAATGCAATCTACCAACATAGGTTCATTTTTACCATAAGCAATGTTGCTTAGCAACACAGCCACCATGTACCACCTCATCTGGTTACCAAGGAAACAAAGCTAGAAAGTTACCGAAAGGTCAGATTTTTATGCAAAAGGGAAAGGGGTTGTATTAATCCATTGCCCACATCTGGCCCCATCGACAAAACTGTGAAGTCAAGTTGAATTTATGATTTTGGGTGCGAATATGGTATAATTGTCTCGATTTTTCCCCCCTAGAGCTGATGTACACAGTTGAACTTGCTGGAGGGCTTGGTGCTATCCTCCTGCTGCTTGTTTGTTTGGTGACCATCTACAAGTGTTACAAAATAGAAATCATGCTCTTCTACAGAAATCATTTTGGGGCTGAGGAGCTGGATGGAGGTAAGATGAGTTCCCTCTCAATATATTTCTGAATATTCCTTTTTGTTTTCTGTCCGTTTTATTGAAGAAAAAGAAAAGTTACCTGCATTAACCACTGACAGCAGTTCTTATAATCTTTCAATGTTCAGTTTTTAACTTCATTTTTTATATGTGACTATATATGCGATGCTTTGAAACTAATAGATGTTTTCCTCTGAAAATTATAAAACAACACCTACCCTTTTTAGAAATGTATTCCAAACGGCACTTGTGAATTACAGATGCTGATTGCAATGCCATCAGAGTATTTATTTTCTCTCACACTGTAATCAGTACTGAAAGGCCAGCTTTACTTTTCTATAGGTAAAGAGTGTCTCTTTTAATTGTGTTCCCTAGCCTCGTAGTTTGAAGTGAATCTCAATTTGTTCCGTGCTTAAATGGATCAGTGACAATAAGCTGTACTGAATATTTTAGAATTCATCCAGCAGTCTTTTCAGTCCTGTTTATTTAGCTATATTTAGACAAGCTAATTTTTATTCCCAGTGTGGACCAACAGATAGCAAAGTGCACAAGCACATTGTTTTCGTAATTATACATTTAGTAGTTTTACTCAAATTGGACAAGTAAATATTATTTTCATAGAAATGGTAATTGTTATTTGCCTCTGGTCAGTCGTAATTATGTGTATAATCTAAGAGGAATTTGGATTGCTAAAAATTGAGCTCCTTAAACCACCTATTAGAGGACTTAAGTTTTCTCCATTTTGGTCCTTTGAAAGTGATTCATATATAAGATAAACTTGCAATATCGGAAGCATATGCAAATTGTAATAAATAGTTGAGATGATGGTTTCTTGATCATATTTATAAACTTTTTTTCCCCTTAACTGTCAGTTTTGCACTAAATAGTATGAAGGAAAATGAAGCAATTGCCCATGGTACCACATTTTACGGGCTCCTCTGTAATAAATGAGCAGGTAGAACTGTAGGTTCTCAGATTTGTGATGAGGGGCAATTTATTGAGCATCCCTAAGGCTCCTTTCTATTTAACCTCACCTTTCCATTAAGCTAAAGTCTGTGCTGCATCAAAACTTTATTTTTTTTATTTTAAGTTCTAATTTTCCTAATTCTTCTTTGTCCCAACTTTCTTGTCTGTTCATACAAATTATTCATATTTTTGCTACTGCTTTAAAGAGATATGAGAAAGTTGTCAATGTCAGAGCTGTTCTTGAGTGGGTAGCAAGCAATGTGCTAGGCATTCTTGAAATCATTCTTACTAATCCTCAAAAAATTCTGAGGTCAGTTATCATCTCCATTTTACTGATAAGGCCACTGAAGCTCCCAGAGGTTAAATAACTTACTGAAAAAGATAACACAAGTACTACTGTACGTGGCCAAGATGGGATTTGAAAATAAGTCAATTTACAAAGCCTTCATTTTATTGAGCATTGAGTCCCCATAATTTTAACCCTTTAAAAATTTAGTATGTTCAGTATAATCTAAAGATCTGCTATTGTTTGCATAATTACCACAATAGAAGATATTTTAAAAAGCAGATTACCTAAATAAGTTTCACTTTATCTATTAAACCTATTTAGAATATGTTTATTTTGTGTTCTGAATGACATGAATGATGTTATCAATTTCCAGTACAGTTTTTATTTGTCAAATTCTAAATGGTAGAAGATTCTGATGGTTTGATACCTATAAACCTTAGTCACATCTCTTGGATCCTTCTACACATGCTGTTATGGTTGAAGAATTATCTAGTCTTCTCATGGTGAAGAATTTCTCTGACATCATCAAATTCCCATTTTTTCTAGCTCTCCTTCAAGTCCTTTCACCTTCCAAAGAAGAGACCCCCAAGCATTTCATACTCTTGACTTGGCTTTTAAAAAAAAAAAGTAATTTGAAAGTCAAAGCTGAGTGATGTATTCTTTATCCTGGCCACATTTTGTAGTTTCTTTATCTGGTTTTGGGATTAGGATGATGCTAGCCTCATAAAAAGAGCTTGGGAGTTTTCCCTCCTCTTGAATTTTCGGGAAGAGTTTGAGGAGAAAAAGTGTTAATTCTTCTTTGAATGTTTGGTAAAACTCACCTGTAAATCCATCTGGTCCCGGACTTTTGTTTGCTGGGAGTTTTTTATTACTGCTTCAATTTCATTAGCTATTATGGGCCTATTCAGATTTTCTGATTCTTCCTGATTCAGCTTTGGAAGATTGTATGTTTCTAGGAATTTGTCCATTTCACCCAGGTTCTCCAGTTTGTTGGCATATAGTTGCTTATAGTATTTGCTTATGATCCTTTGAATTTCTGTGGGGTCAGTTGTTATAGCACCTCTTTCATTTCTGATTTTATTTATTTGGGTCCTCTCTCTTTGTTTCTTGGTGAGTCTGGCTAAAGGTTCATCGATCTTATTTATCTTTTCAAAGAATCAGCTCTTGGTTTCATTGACCTTTTGTATTGATCTTTTTTTAGTCTCTATGTCATTAATTTCTGCTCTGATCTTTATTATTTCCTCCCTTCTACTTCCCTGGTGCTTTTCTTGCTGTTCTCTTTCTAATTCTCTTAGTTGTTGTGTTAGGTAGTTTAGTAAAGCTTTTTCTTGTTTCTTGAGGTATGCCTGTACTGCTATGAACTTTCCTCTCAGGACTGCTTTTGTTGTGTCCCATAGATGTTGGGTTGTTGTCTGTTCATTTTCAGCTTTTTTAAGGAAGATTTTGACTTATTCCTTGATCTCATTGGTAGCCCTTCATTGTTTAATAACATGCTATTTAGCCTGAATATTTTTGAGTTTTTTTATAGTGGTTGATTTTGAGTTTCATGCCATTGTGACCTGAGAAGATGCTTATATGATTTCAATCTTCTTGAACTTGTACAGACTTGCTTTGTGCCCTAACAGATGGTCTATTTTTGAGAATGTTCCATGTGCACTTGAGAAGAATGTGTATTCTGCTGCTTTGGGATGAAATATTCTGTAAATGTCAATTAAATCCATTAAATCTAGTGTGTCTTTTAAGGTCTGTGTTTTCCTGTTGATTTTTTGTCTTGATGATCTGTCCAAATGAAAAATAATTTGGACAAATTCAGCTGCATATACATTTATTAACAAACAAGCGTGTAACCCATCCTATAAACTTGCAGATTTTCTAATTTTATCGTGTGTGTGCGTGTGCATGTGTGTGTTCCCAAAAAAAAAAAAAAAAAAAAAAAAAAAAAAAAAAAAAAAAAAAAAAAAAAAAAAAA